GGTTTAATCTCGGTTTCTGATACTCAAGACCTAATGACCCAAGAGAAAGCCTTGACCGAGACTGCGTAATTCCGTAAACAAGTATGGTTGAGATGATGAGATATGAGCCTGTTAGTATGTAAGTCAAGTTACGAAACCACTTGTTCTAACCTTTCAGTCAAGGGTCATTAACGTTTAACCCTTCAATGAAATGCAAGACTGGGGTTGCGTAATATGACATGTCTGGTTTGGTTGATGAGCTTACCTCCCCAGGTTAGAAGAATGTGAATGAAGTTAGAACCATCCCTGAGCAGACAAATTTAGTCGCCGGCTCTCAAAAAAGATAGGCGAATTCGTAAAAAAGTGGGGCATTAAAACAGTGTTTAAAGCAATCCTCACACTTTCTTCTGTTATGCCATCTTTTAGAGAGAAATATGACCCATTATTGCGATCCGGCTGCTACAAGATTGTTTGCTCATGTGGTCGATGTTATGTTGGTGAGACACGCCGACCTATTAGACAAAGATTGGTAGAACCCAAAAATGCTTGCAAAGGTAGCTGGATCCAACGGTCAGAAGTGGCTGAACACATGGTAGAAACGGGACATGAAATAGAATGGTCTCAAACTAGTAGGTTTGCTGATTATGGTACATCTGCGGTTAAAAGAAAGATGAGAGAGGATATTGAAATTAATAGCTTAGGAAATACGTTGAATGTGAGGAACTACGTAGGCTTGATTGATAGATGGAAGGAAAGATGGTGTTGAGTCACCGTCAAAAAGCAGGCGACTCAATTTGCTTGCTCGGAGATGGTTCTAATTTCACTCAAATTCGTTCAAAATGTTGGAGTAAGCTCATCAACTAAACCAGACATGTCAGATTACGCAACCCCAGTCTTGCCTTCTATTGGGGGTTAAACGTTAATGATCTTAGACTGAAAAGTTAGAATAAGTGGTTGCGTGACTTGACTTACGTGCTTACAAGCTCATATCTCATTATCTCAACCATACTTGTTCACGGACTTACGCAGTCTCGGCCAAGGTCTTGGGTCATTAGATCGTGAAGATCAGAACCTGAGATTACAACTTTGACAACTCAGAATCAGGACCGGTATTGCATATAGACGCTAACACGAACAGATACGCATATGCATACACTCAAACGAAAGTAAGAGGACCAGTATGAAAGATTATTAACCTAACCACTCTACATCGATCTGTCTAGGTTTTTAATTTTCTTTCGGATCAATTGAGTCCATGCAAGAAGTAAAATAGAGCCGGATAGTGTTCTTGCTTTAGTGTTAATGTGAAACTTTTGCAAGAATGACACCCGAAACGAGTGAGGAAGTCTCGTGGACTGCGTCAACCTAAATGTCGTATAAAAGCCAAACGGCTACAGTACAACGAGATAAGATCGACCAACAAGGCTCTTCTTCATTCACTTTCATACGAAATGAAAATCCCGATAATAATCTAAAACACCAGTCGACTCATTGTACCTCCATACTCTCAAATTCCTATCCCCTCAGGGGTTTATAACCCGAATTACTCTTGGAGCTGATGAAATCTTGGCGTCAAATAAGCCAAAAACGTATTCCCACTAATGAAGTTAGCCATATTAAGCAAGATACCATAAAATTTCCTCCCGATCAAATAAGGCCAAGAAAAATTCGATGAAAAATTAAGTCTTTTCTACAATTAATTGTCGACAAATTGGTTAAAAGTCACCTAAGAAACTAGCCAAGACCGGTACACCTTGACAACAACCAGTCTACAGACTGTCTCAAAAAAAACTCTAGCCTACATTAAAAAGGAAGGTAGACAAGTCTCCTAACTCGTATTGTATCCCTTCCGCATGAGGGTGGTCGAAAAAGGGATTCATGAACCAGTTCTTACAGAGCACGATGGACGATAGTCCTTTAGCCACTCCGATGCGCATGTGTTCGTGTCGGAGCTGTTTGTGCACCGTCTTCGGCTCTGATGAATACGTGCTCTCCCGACGCATCTGCTCTCTGTCGAGGAAATAGCGTCTTTCCTGAGCTCACGATTGCGAAGCAATTTCGCCTTATTTTGGCCGGATCAACCATTAAATCTCGCCCGAGCCTGCCTCCGAGACGATTATCCAGACTCAACAGATTAATCATAATCACACTCGTGCATGTGACAAGCAGAGGTATCAGGGACACCAACTGCAACTAGACCTGCTTGATGCTTTTTATGGGGAAATCCCCTGAACGTCTTCGCTCTTTTGGTACAACAGGTCAACAACAACAATAAAAACAGCAACCAAATCAAGTCGTTTAATTGGGCCAATTATCTGAGGACTACTCTATTCGGCGTCAACTGTTAATCTTCTATGTTCCCTCAGGCGACTTGAATGCTTCAAGCCTGCCGGGAGGACATTCATTTGTTTGGATTCAGCAATTAACTTGTCAACATTTGTCGGAAGGACCCTTTGGCAAGAAACGGCGTCTTCTGGCCACGCTCAGCTGCAACCGACATTCCCTGTGCACTGTTCAGTCAATTTCCAGTTCGAGTGAAAGTGTGTCAAGATGAGACGAGTCTGGCTTGATCTCACCGGAAGCCGACGACTGATTTCTCTTGGCCAGCCGTCGGTTGGCTTTACTGGTACACGCTTGGCAGACGCAGTCATCGAGACGACCTGCTTTGGTTCCGGTGAAAACGTCAACTTAAACCGTTTATCATCTAACTTGAAAGACACTATCAAAACAGCGTAGTTATCTTCAAACTTTTTCAAACCAACTAAGTAATAAAATATATCAGCTTATCTCTTTACCTTTAAATATATTCCCACTATATTAGATTTTATGGATTACAGAGTGATTTGGTTAGTTCGTGTGATGTGTTAATCAAGATACATCTGCATTTATTGGGTTGGTTTGACCCAGTTTTCGCAACTTTGCCCGAGTGA